CCAAACCCGAAACCCCAAAACCCAAACTAACTTGGAGATCTTACGGCTCGCGGGCGTGCCCAAGCAGAGGAAAGGCTCCAAACCCCGAAACTTCACAAAAAATGGGTTTAGGGTTTAGGGTTTGTAGGAACCTGGTTAAGAAACCTGGGTCTTCATTCGGGCTCTTTATTATATGAAATTATAGGAACCCTGATATGTTGGGGCTATAGGGCCAGGGTTTCTTAATCAAGTTCCAGCAACATGATCACGCCTCTTGGGTGGGTTACGCTGCACATAAGAGCTTTCACAGGTCAGAGCTAGATGGAGGTGCGCAGACCTGCTTTCGATTCGGACATGTGTGCCTCCTCAAGTTTAGGGTTTAGGGCTTTTAGGGTTTGGTTTAGAGTTTAGGGTTTCGGGTTTAGGGTAACCCTAAACCCTAAACCGTTTTAGAGTTTAGGGTTTCGAGTTTAGGGTAACCCTAAACCCTAAACCCTAAACCGTTTTAGAGTTTACGGGTTTCGGGTTTCGGGTAACCCTAAACCCTAGACCCTAAACCCTTTTAGAGTTTAGGGGTTTAAATTTTCCGGGCTTCGGCTAACCCTAAACCCTAAACCCTTTTAGGGATTAGGGTTTAAGGTTTAGGGCTCTAACTTGTGTTTAACTGACGCCTCAACTGCCAACTTACAGGCTGCCTCTCGGGGCTGAGGCCGGTTCAACTGCTATCACCTGGAGGGGACCAAACCCTAAACTCTAAGCCTTTATAGTAGGGTTTAGGGGTTTAGGGTTTAGGGGTTTAGGGGTTTAGGGTTTAGGGTTTAGGGTCTAGGATGTTAACAATTAAAATAGGGCTTGGGGTTATATTATACTATAATTGTAGTACTGTCGAGGCCTTACCATATAATTCAAATAGGGCTTTGGGGGTATACTAGTCTATATTTATAGTAAGGAGACCTCACAATAGTGCAGGTAGTTATTAAGGCTCCTATATTAACCCCTGTAAAAACCTACATTGGAGCCCTATGGGTCACCCTGGTATCCGGAGCCTACTGCCCACCCATATGAAGGCCACAAGCCTATTGTTGGAAACCAGGAGCCGAGAACGTGGCCTAAACCCAATGGCGTTCAGGGAGTGGTGTTCATGAATCCGCAGGCCTCTGCAATGATAAGCTTCTGTTCGGCCAGCTCTGTGTTCAGCTGCTGTTGCTTGGCATCGTACTCCTGGCGTAGTGGCTGGTCGGGCTCTTACTTGCACCTGTTGCAGACTGTGGAGGATTTCAATGACAGAAACAGTTACAGGACGATCATGCCTAAACATCATTTGAAAGTCTCTTAACTCAACCGGGATGCCGTTAACGCTCGGTTGGGACACAGTCAGAACTTGAAGTCTTCGCAGTAGACTCACAATGACATAGTGTTTTGTCGTTGCAAGCTTTCTCTTTTCAGACTCACGGAACTCAAGGTCATAAAATAGGGGTCTCAATAATTAGAATAGGGTTATGGGGCCCACTTTATTTTACAGTTATAATACGGAACCCCAAATGATAATATTGGAAATTATTTAGGCCCCTATATTACCCTGGCCCTAAGCAGGGTTACAAGGATCCGCTATTGGGAAACCTCAGAAGCCCTAAACCCTAAACCCTAAACCCTAAACCCTAAACCCTAAACCCTAAACCTTAAACCCTAAGCAGGGTTACAAGGATCCGCTATTGGGAAACCTCAGAAGGAGACCCTGGGTTGGCCAACCCCAAACGAAACCCATCGCCCTACGCCCTCAAACCCCTCAAACCCCTAATGTAGGGGCCTTAATAAGAATAGGGATTTGGGGCTCACTATGCTATAATTATAATAAGGAACAGACTAGTATAGGTAATTATTTCGGCCCCTATATTAATTCCCCTTAGCCCAAAGCCCAGAACCCTAAACCCCTTTAGCCTAAACCCCCAGAGTTTAAGCCTTAAGCCCTAAACCCTGAACCCTAAAACCTAAACCCATCATCAGCCTCATCCAATTTGATGAAGTCCCTGGTCATCTTCATCTCGGTCCGAACGTCCCCCGAGAGACTCGAGGGAATGCCTTCAGCTACGAGACATCTGTCGTTGGTCTTTGAGCTTACGGGCTAGTGTTTATGCTTTGGGCTTTAGGGTGTGAAGCTAGCTTTCGAGAAGTGTAGAGATTCTGCACCCCAAACCCTAAAGCCCAAACCCGAAACCGCTAAACCCTGCCTGCTACAACTCAGGAAATGCTGGCTTCGCCCAAACGCACGGTCACGAGCTGGAATATTACAGAAGGGGCTCCTGTTCGGGTTTTGTTTGTGAGGGAAGAAGCATCCTACTAATCTTCAGGCTTCTAGGGTTTAGCGTTTAGGGTTTCTATGTAACGATCACCTTGGAAGGTGCCATGTGTCTGACACTTCCTTGTACTTCTGAGCCCCACAGTCTTCCACCATGTTGAACCTAAGATTCCGATCGAGGTCATCAGCAGCAAAAACGTTTTAGCAGAGGGGCCTAGTAATTAGAATAGGGTTTGGGGGTCTATTGTACTATAGTTAGAATAAGGAACCCCAAACATGGTCTTGCTAATTATTTCGGTCCCTAAACCGTAAACCCTAAACCCTAAACCCTAGAACCTAAACCCTAAACCCTAAACGGTTTGGGGTCTAGGGTCTTCGGACCGAGGGTCTTGGGTTTAGGGGGAGCTTTCCCAGCAACATAGACTCTGTAGGGTTTAGGGTTTAGGGTTTAGGCACATGGGGAGTTCTCTAAATTAGGGTCCTTTTTAGATCCCAAAGATAGTACGGCGACCCTCATAAAAAAAAGAAACCTAACAGGGACCCTAATTTAGAGATAGCGCGAGATCTGTGCGAACGTGATGGGCGACTTTCTAAGCAGCACAAACTACCTAGACCCTGTAGCACCCTTTTTGCTTACCATACACTTCTTATTCATTATGGGACCCTCACCATAAAAGGTTGTCCAACAAAAACTGCAGCATTCTAGGGTCTAGGTGGGTTTCGGAAGGCTTGGGCGGCTGCAGGGCAGATTGTGGCTGCTTACTTTCGGTCTCTTGCAGCGCTCAGGGCGCAGGGAGTTGCCATTTTTGGGTTAGGGCCCTCCTGATCCTAAGACCCAAACCCTGAACCCTAAACCCCTGATCCTGAGACCCTAACGGCCCTAACCCTGAACCCTAAACCCATGTCCCTAAACGCAGAGCCCGGAAGTTGAAAGCTTAGGGTTCTAGCCGCAACGAAGCGCGACTTTAAGTGGCTCGAAGCATTTGAAGGAGTCTGAGGCTGTCGGTTTCAAGGCTGCAGGATACGGGATTACCAAGAGGACCTCATACGAATTGTATACTACAAGCTACGACAAGCTTTATAGAGTGGTTATACGTGTTTTGTGTTTGATAGGGGGTATATTTTAGATTCCACAGAAGCCCTAAACTCTACATCCTAAACTCTGCACCTTAAACCGCCCTGATATGCAACCGGGGTGCTCATGAGCAGCGCCGAGGCAGATTGGTGCGTAATGACAATCCTCTTGTCGGCATCGTCCTTCGCAGTGACTTTGCAGATTCGGGTTTAGGGGTCTAAAATGACTTTGGGGCAGTTTTCGGGTCGAAGGTACGGGGTTTGGAGTTCAAGGTCTGGGCTTTGCGCCTTAGGGTGAAGGGCTTGGGGTTTAGGGCTTGGGGTTTACGGTTTAGGCTTTAGGCTTTAGGGTTTAGGGGTTTAGGGTTTAGGGTTTTAGGGTTCAAAGCTTGTCCCTATAACCCAACTCGCAAAACCTGAATCATGCCTGTCTTCCACGGCAGCAACTTGGACCCTCCCCGGTGTCTTTCCTGTGCTCCTTGCCCTTGAGGTCTGGTTCGGGGGTAATTACCCCAAACCCGAAGCCCTGCAAAATGAAGGTTTAGGGTTTAGGGTTTAGGGTAGCTCTCAACAGCTGCCGGAACAGGAAAATCCTTCGCCCTAGCCCAGAGCCAGATTCAATTCAAAGACTTGAACTAGCCAGACCTGAACCCCTAAACCCCTAAACCCCTAAACCCCTAAACACCGAAACCCTGAAACCCTCAAACCCTAAACCCTAAACCCTAAACCCTAAACCCTAAACCCTAAACCCTAAACCCCTAAATCCTAAAACCCTGCGACTTCCTGTCGTATTAGATCCCCACCCAGAAACGCAGTCAATGTGTGGCTCTACCATAATGGCTTTGCTAAGTAGAACATTCTTCGTTGGGGGGGAGGGGGCGTGTTCTTATCGTGCTTCTTGTAAGTGGGTTCTCTAAACTATGTAGGGTCCCCTGTTTAAGGTCGCCAAAATAGTACGGCACCCTTATGAAAAAGGACCTTACAGGGGACCCTAATTTAGACAACTACCCACATAAACCCTGAACCCCACACCCCAAAGCCTAATTTGCAGAACCACCCAAGCAGTAGAAACCCTAAACCCTGAACCCTACACCCTAAACCCCAGGAATAGCTATGATGAGGAGCCCTGACCATACCCGTCTTCTTTGAGGTTTGGGGCTTGGGGGCTGGAAGATGCTCGAGGGGGTTTTAGGGGTTTAGGGTTTAGGGTTTAGGGGCTTTTAGGGATTAGGGTTCAAGCGAGTCCAGGGTTCCGGTTTGGGCATGTAGGGCCGACTTATTGTAGGGTTTAGGGTTACTTTAAGGTTTATAGGGTTTAGGTTTTGGGTTTAGGGTTACTTCAGGGCTTATAGGGTTTAGGGGTTTAGGGTTTAGGGTTACTTTAGGGTTTGGATGACCAGAGCTGTCAAAAGGCCTTCGTCTGGGCTTTGATCCAGCCATCCAGCCTCGGAACATCGTCTTCCAAAGGTTAGATCTTCAGGGTTTAGGGTTTAGGGTTTAGGGATCTTCAGGGTTTAGGAACCCCAAAGTGTCCGGGCACTGGTCTTTCATTCAATCAGATTTAAACCTCAGGCCTTCTAAGCCCCTGCACAACCTTAAACCCTAAACTCTAAACCCTAAACCCTAAACTCCTGAAGAAACCTTGTGTTTGCCTTTGGTGCTTGAAAGTGGGGGCTGCGAGCTCTCCTCCCGCAAAGGCCGCAAGCCGAAAGAAATCCAGAAACCCCCATTAGGGTTTAGGGTTTAGGGTTTAGGGTTCAGCAGCTCCGGATCGAGCAGTTTTATAGTAGAGTTGTATTCACGGTTTCGATACAACACCCACCCACCCTAAGAATCCCATAACATTTAGAAAACACAAAGTTCCTCTGATCATCATTCAGCGAAGTTCTACCTACAACTTAGCTTCACACACTTTT